ACAAAATAAAAACAGACTCACAGGTACAGAGAACAGACTGATGGCTGAAAGAGGGGAAGTGGGTTGCAGAGCTGGGTGAAAACGGCAAAGGGATTAAGAGGTAGAAATTGATAGTTACAGAATAGTCACAGAGATGTAAAGTACATAGGAAATATAGTCAATAAAATAGTGCTAACTATGCTTAGTACCAAGTGGGTTCTTGAAATATTCGGGGACCACTCTATAAAGCACATGATTGTCTAACGACTAAGCTGTACATCTAAAATTAATACAGAATAATATTGAATGTAAACTGTAATTGAAAAGTTTTAAAAATTGTAAAAATTTTATGATTTTAAGTAAACAAAATCAAATAAATGTCATGCTTTTTAACTTAGATACTGCTATATAAATATTTAAAAGAAATATATTGTTTCACTTTTTTTTTAATGTACTTATCAGCCTTGGCCAGTGTTTATCAGTGGTTAGAGCATGGGCCCATGCACTGAAGGGTTGCAGATTCGATTTCTGGTCAAGGGCATGTACCTTAGTTGCAGATTCAACCCCTGGCCCTGGTTGGTAATGTCTCTCTCACATCAATGTTTCTCTCTCTCTCTCTTTCCCTCCCTCCCTCTCCATCCCTCCCACTCTGTCTAAAATTATATATATATATCCTCGGGTGAGGATTAACAAAAAACACAAACAAAAAAATGTACATATCATACTAACCTTTTAAAATGTGCTTTTCAATCAACATTAAAATATTAAACTATATGTTGATATATGCCCTAATTAGTCTTCGCTAATAAATAATATTCTATGAAAAAAATAAGGCTGACCACAGAGCTAACAAAAAAAAAGACTTCAGTGACCACACAGAATAAGAAATACAGTCTTTGCAAAAATATTTTTGAAAAATCAATAAACCAATGGACAACTGCAGCCCACAACAATCAACAGCAAACCTGTGGGATGGGAAAACATAATTTCCAAACTTACTACATTATAATATTTAAATTGTTCAATCTTCAGAGAAAAATACAAAACATATAAACAAACAGAAAATTATGGATCATTCACAGAAAAAAAAAAGAAATTGTCAGAAACCATTCCCAAGGAAGCCCAGTCATTGAACTTAACAGAAAAAAAAAGACTTTACACCTTTCAAATATGCTTAAAGAGCTAAAGGAAATCATGGAAAGGGAACTGAAGAAAACCAGGAGAATTTTGTTTGAATAGACACTATCAGTAAAGAGATAAAAATTAATTTTGAAAAGGGAACCAAATAGAACTTGTGGAGCTGAAAAGTAAAACAGCTGGGGGGAAAAGTTACTGGAGAGTTTACACAGCAGATAGAGCACACAAAAGACAGAATCATCCCTAGCTGGTTTTGCTCAGTGGATAGAGCATCAGCCTGCAGACTAAAGGGTCCTGGGTTCAATTCTGGTCAAGAGCACATGCCTGGGTTGTGGGCTGGATCCCAGTAGGGGGCTGCAGGAGGCAGTCTATCAATGATTCTCTCTCATCATTAATGTTTCAATCTCTCCCTCTCCCTTCCTCTCTGAAATCAATAAAAATATATTTAAAAATAAAGACAGAATCAGCAAAAGGGAAGACAGAACAATTGAAATTATCCAGTCTGAATAGCAGAAAGAAAAAGGAAGTAAAGAGAGCATAAGAGACTTGTAGGACACCATCAATCATACTAATATATGAATTAAGAGAGTTCCAGAAGAAGAGAAAGGCACACAAAGAATATTTGAAGAAATAATTGCCAAACTCTTTACAACTCTGAAGAAGAATAAATCTATACATCCAAGAAACTCAATGACTTCCAAGATGGATAAACTCAAAAAGATCCATACCAAGACATATTAAAATGAATCAGTTCAAAGACAAAGACAGGATAGTATCTTGAAAGCAGCAAGAGAGAAGCAACTCCTCAAGTACAAGGGATGCCTAATAATAACCGCTGACTTCCCACTTGAAACTATGTAGGCAAAAGGCAGTAGAATCACATATTTAAAGTTCTGAATGAGGGATTATGTCAGCAAGACATGGCAACGTAGAAAGCCTTATAAATTACCCCTCCTCAGAAACAATGATTTAACAATATTATTGGAACCAAAATACCTTGAAGAGAAATTCAGAATCCAGCTAAGAAGTAGAAGTATCCTAAAGAGCACAAAGTGTACTCACATCAGTCCCTCCCCTTAGTAGGTTTAGCTCAGCACCAAGGAGACTGCTTCAGCCCATGATTCCCTCCTGTGGAGGGATGGGGAGTCTGCCTTCTGTGGAGAGAGTTTGCCTCATACCAAACACGGATAAAGCAAAAGAGCTTGGTCCCTGATACTGTTAGAAATAAAGAAAAGGGGAGAACATCCCCTTATAGCCAACATTTTTTTTGCATGATTGAAGAAAAGCAGAGAACTGATGCTTTCCCTTCAGCAGGGAAGAAAGGAAGCAAAGGGGGTCTTGTCCCTAGCCTTAGTGTGGCTAATACCAAGCCCTACTAACCAAGAAACATGTTTCCCTGTCAAAATCAGTCCAGAAAGACTGAAAGAGGTAGCTGCTTCTTCAAATGTAAAGATAACAAAGCAAATCTACAAGGAATATGAAGAATCCAGAAAGCACAACACAATCAAAGAAAGGTAACAAATTTCCGGTAAACAATCTGAAATAAATGGCTGAAATGAGTTGTAAATCACTTTTACTCTAGTGTAAAAGTTAAAAGACAAAGGTATTAAAAAGAACTATGACTACAGTAATTTAAAAGTTACACATTATAAAAAGATGTAAACTATCACATCAATAACATAATGTGTGGGGGAGTGGGAAGTGAAAGTTTAGAGTGGCTGAATGGGTTAAAAAAAATCCAACCATGTGCTGCCTACAAGAGACTTGCTTTAACTTTAAGGACACAGAGAGTCTTAAATGGAAGGGTTAGAAAATAATATTCTATGTAAATAGTAAACAAAAGAGAGAAGTGGCTATTCTTATATCAGACCAAATGGATAGTCAAAAACTGTCACAAGAGACAAAGAAAGTCATTTATGATAATCATCAAGAGGATATAACAAATATATATATCGCACATTGGAGACTCTAAATGTGTAAAGAAAATATTAAGAGCTCTTAAAGAGAAAGTAGACAGTAATATAGTAAGAGTACAATTCAATACCCCATTTTAGAAATAGTTAGATCATCCAAAAGAAAATTAGTACAGAAATAGAATATTTGAACAACACTACAGACTAAGTAAACATAACAGATATATAGAATATTCTATTCTACAGTACCAAAATATACAGTTTTCTTAAGTACAGAGGAAAATTCTCCAGGATAGATGAAATGTTAGGGTGCAAACGAAGTTCCAAAAGTTTGAAAACACTGAAATCATATTAAGTATCTTTTCCAACCACAACAGCATGAAACTAGAAATCAATAACAGGAGGAAAACTGGAACATTCACAAATGCATGGACGTTAACACATTCTTGAACAACCAGAGGGTCAAAAAACAAATCAAAAGGTAAATGAATCCGTGGCCAGGTGGCTCAGTGGATTGGAGCATCATCCATTACACCAAAAGGTAATGAAGAAATATCTTGTGACAAATAAAAATGGAAACAACATATCAAAATTTATAGGGCACAGTAGAGCAATATTACTGAAACGTACATGTATACTTACATTTACATACTGTCCAATGCTTGGTGGCATCACAAAGCCAACCCATGGGTCCAAAGGGCAAAGCACCCAGATGTGCACCCTGGATCGGTGGAGAACAGCCACCACACCAAGAAAATCATAACACTGAGCAATCCATGCTACAATGGAGTAGCAGCTGTATTTTTCTGTGTAGTTTATAGCATTTATTTTTTTTTGGCCAAATGTGCAAAACAAATCTTTTCCAAGTCACATTTTAAAAAAGTTTATCTTTGGACCTTAGGGTTTTTTGCTGGCTTAATTTTAATTCTTAGGAAACAGTTTGCTGCCTACTAAAAGTTGGAAACATATGCCTTTGGAAAATGCAGAGCCATAAATAATAATATAATTTCAAATAGTTCAATATTTGTGTTATGTTTAAAATAACTAAAATCACATAGAAAACTACACATGCAAGATAGCACTCCTGGGAACCATTACAAAGGGCAGTCCAAATTTGTCATCTGGACTTGTTTTCCCATTCCTGGCTCCAGCTTAATTTCCTGACACTTTTGAACTCCCTTTTATGGGTCACAACCCAAACATTCCCTTGCCCCTTGACTGCTTTATGTTTCTCAATAGCATTTAATTTTATGAATAGCATTTACATCTTGTTCATTTCTTTTTCCCCCTGATATAATAAAAGGGTAATATGCAAATGGACCCTAATGGCAGAACGCCCTGGAACGACTGGTCGCTATGATGCACACTGACCACCAGCAGTCAAATGCTTAATGCAGGAGCTGCCCCCTGGTGGTCAGTGCGTTCCTATAGGGGGTGCTCTGCTAAGCCACAAGCCTCTCCTACCTCCTAGGCAGCGCTAAGGATATCCAACTGCAGTTTAGGCCCGCTCCCCAGTGGGGGACCAGGCCTAAGCTGTCAGTCAGACATCCCCCAAGGGGGCCTGGGCTGCCAGAGGGATGTCTGACTGTCAGCTTGGGCCTGATCCTTGACTGCGAGAAGGTGCAGGCCAGGCTGAGGGACCCCCCCCCCCCCCCCGGAGTGCACAAATTTTCATGCACCGGACCCAATTTTTTAAACAATAAAAAATTGAATTTGCTTTAATATTGATTTTGTTTTATCATATGCTATTTAAAATTCCTAAGTATTAGTGTCTCTAAGATAATTCTGTTTTAAAATATTTATATATCTATTCCCTAATTATTTTGAATAAATTTGTTTGTTATTTTACATCTGACTATAAGAAGTTTGACGTAGAGATTGATTTGACCTGAAATTTGAATACAGTCTTTGGACTTGAAACTTACAACTAATTGGACTATACTGAATTCTAAGTGGAAAAATTACTGGGACTATTTTATTACCTTTTCGTATAGTAGGCATGTCACTGTCTGCAATCAGTTGCAAGCAGTCTTGAATGACTGAAAAGCAAAAATGTATCATTTTAGTTACTTGTATAGAAATAGTAAGGGAACTAAGATGACTTAGAACATAAAGCTACAAACTCATTCTCCAGTAACACCAAATCTATTATACTTTCTACATAGCTTGTATATTGTTCCTAAAATTACTTTATGAAATTTGTCCACAGTGTTTTACTATAACTTGTACTTGAAATATAATTTGTCCTTTAAAATTTATGTTTTAGAAAAACTCTACATGCTGTTGAAATACAGTAAGTATATCATCTTTGCTAACATTTATTGAGAAGACACAAATCCAACCTCACAAAACTCCTAAAAATTATGTGCTGAAAGCTAAGTCTTGTAGAGTGTAAACAACTTGTTCAGGACCTGAGGCGGAAACCACATCTGTTTCACTATGGAGCCAAAGTCAGGCTTTTATTAAAATATTTGGACCAAAAAGAGAAGAGTTAGAACATCTTTTAAAAATAAAATGGAAGCATTTCCCTAAGACTGCTTAATCAGTGAAGTTCCTGGGAAGCATCAATGCATATCACATATTACATGTACAGTAGAATATTGCAGGTAATATTGAAGGGAATAAAAAACTATTCTGTTAAATAAAGACAAAAGCTGTCAGGTAAAAGCAAAATAAGTAGACTGTAGAAAAAGAAATCAAAATAGTAAATGTATTTGAAATATATAAGCTTAAGTGTGCCTATTTTAAATTAAGAAACTATTAGTTTATATTTTTATTATCTAGCAAGTATTTTACTCAGCATTGAATAGTTTAAAACATGCTTCTCAATGTATAGATTTTAAGAGCTTGACACAAGAATTTCTGCTCCAGTTGATTAACTGAAATTTTTATAATATTTAAAGCCTAGAATAACAGATGTAATAATTACATATGATATTCTGAGGCTGTGCAAATGCATTGGCCTAAAAAGAATTCCATTAAAGGGACTTATCACATAAAAAAAAATCTGTTAAGAAATTTCCCTTGGCATTTAAAGGTGGGATATAATGTTAAAAACTGCAATTCCTTTATAACCAGGAAACTTTTCTAACACATTTTTATGTTAATCTGATCAATTCGATAGGAACAGCATGTTTGGCCTACTTTGTGATTCTTTCATACATTTGTAAAACAAGGGTAGTCATGTCTGTGCCATAAGGAAAATGTGACTCAGCGCAGTTACTAAGGCCGATCCTCTGCCATGAAAATATATAAAAGCATCGTAACAAGCAGAACAGTTGTAAGGAGGCTTTGAACTTAAGTAACAAAACATCCAAAGCAGCTAAAGTCTGAAGGTCATACCATATCAAAGGTCACACTATATAGCCACATTAAACCTCTTTTAGATGTGTTTCTATTTTTCTAACAAATACTTCTTAAGAAATTACTACTCACAAGGCACCCTGATTACTTTTGTGAGGGAGACAAGGGTCAGTCAGAGCACCTAGTTCTACTCTTTCCTCCACAGAAAGAAAAGAAGAGGATGTTGACAAAAGTCGAATTTCCAGATTTCCATCTTTCTTTTGTTATGTGTACATGCATATTATAAAGATTAAATGAGATAATACCCATGAAACATTTAGTATATAATAATTGCAAAATCACTCTTGGCTAGTAGTAGTAGTAGTAGTAGTAGAAGTGTTAGCATTTTTGTTCCTGATACAGCATTGCACCCAACAAACTGGGAACATAGTGAAGGACACTATGAGAGCATGAAGACCAAGTGAAGCTGATAGAAAAAGGACCAAAGAAATACTATAATACATTACTTCCTATTTCAATGAACCCTTTCCCTGTAAGAGAGTTTTACGCAATGAATGATGCCTCCACACTACCAAATTGATATGAAATTTTTAATTTTAACTGAATGTTAATCTCCGCAGCCTAATGAAAACTTGGCTACAACCTACATTTTGAAATGCAAGGATCAATTCCATCATGTAGTAGCAGAAATTTACTTTTTAGAAGAAAAGATACTATGGAGAGAAAAGTTTACTTCAAGAAATACCCTTCAGAAAAGAAAATGGGATCTAAGGATCACAATAAACTGATGAATAAAACAGAACCAGAGGCATGGAAACATGGAACAGACTGAGGAATCTCAGAAGGAAGGGGAGAGGGGGGTGGGAAGAGATCAACCAAAGGATTTATATGCAAGTATGCGTTGCCCATGAACACAGACAACAGGGTGTGGAAGGCCTGAGGTAGGAACCTGGTGGTGGGGGACAATGGAAATTGAAAGGGGGAGACATTCTAATACTTTCAACAATAAAGATAAAAAATAAAAATTAATGTGCAAAAAAAAAAAAACAACCCACAAAAGAAAATGGGATATGAAAGTGACAGTTCAATAGTAGTGTTTGAACCATACTAGTACACACTAAAGCTAGTACTATTCATTATTTTTTATTATTATTATCCCAGAGGAAGTCACTGGGTGTTTCAAGGAGTTTTGTTGAAAAATAAGATTTCCATCCTAGCCGGTTTGGCTCAGTGGAAACAGTGTCGGCCTTCGGACTGAAGGGTCCTGGTTCGATTCCTAGTCAAGGGCACATGCTCCTGTTGTGGGCTTGATCCCGAGTAGGAGGCGTGCAGGAGGCAGCCAATCAATGATTCTCTCTCATCATTGATGTTTCTCTCTCTCTCTCCCTCTTCCTTCCTCTGTGAAATCAATAAAAGTATATTTTTTAAAAAAGAAAAGAAAAATAAGATTTCCTCATTAGATGTTGCTCAGGTCCCATCAACCTCATCAGTGTTACCTATCTCTTCGCATTTCAACTCTTCCTTCTTAGGAAATTTGATATCTATTACCCATTTATCTCCAGTTCAGACTTTTAGGACTCTCTATTTCAACGTAGATTTGATCTTAACTATAGATTATTGCTCACAAAAAGTGGGCAAAAAAATGAGCATAGTATTTTCTGATATCTCCCAATAGCATAGATATCCAACCACAAAAGTTTTTATTGTAAAACACAATATCAATAACAATTATAAAACGTAATTGATTGTGCTTGGCTTTCATAAGTCTTTCATACATCATCTTCTCTAATATAATTGAAGGGAATTATATAAGAATTAGAGAATAGTTTGACTTTTTATCTAAGCAAGATAATAGCATACATTAAAACCTTTTGTGTCTGATAGGGAAACATATTTCTGAATATATATTTATTATATACATATAATAATGTGGGAAACATAGATAATTATTCTTGTTAAGTACATTTTGACAGCATAAGAAAATTTACTTTTGGAAATATTAAACTTTGTGTAAAATATTTCATTTTACACAAACTTTAATGTTTCTAAAGTAAATATTTCTAAAACAAATTAATATATTGATGACAAAAATAGATTACAAGAGATAATCCCTAAAATAAGAACTTTCACAACAAAATAATTTGCTGGTCAACATTTGATATGATAAAATCTAACTAACTTCACAAATGAAATAGCCTTTAAATATTTTCTATTCAAAAACATTTTGAGTTTGACAGCTACCTTCTTAAGTGTAATATTCAAATAGCATTTAATCAGGGAAAGGGACTTGAAAGTTTATGGGATTGTTAATATTTGTTGTATTACTTTCTAATTCTTCATCGTTCTTCTCACTCATTGGGCTAGAAAATTTTAATTAGAAGAAATCCCTTAAAGAGCTAAACATTGACCTAATACTAGACATAAATTTGTGAATAAATTGAAGACAGAAAGAATTGCTTTAGGATAAAAATTTCTACTGGAATGGAAACACAACAATTTAGATGTGGAAAACTGGATTATAAAGTTTTATTTGATCTATGATAAACAGTTTGCTTGGGTGGCTACTTATGAAATCAGTAAGAGTTGAGAGAGTTTTAAAAGAATTTCTAGAGAACTAGATTGAGAAATACGTACTTGACCTACTATAAAACAGGAAAAATAATCAGGAATTGTTCATCTTGAGAGGAACCAGCCTGATACATGTTGATCATATATGTGTCTATGCATAGAATGAATTGCCATAAAGGGAGACAACAGCAAGCCAAGTTTCAGCTGTTGACCGGTAATAAATATATGAGGATAATTTGGTCTAAAACGCAATTGTACAAATGAAGTAGCCAAGATATATTGTGAAAAAAATTAAAAGTTTGTGACTAATGACTATATGTATTTGAAGGAGAATTAAAAACTATAAAGAAATAAAACTGTTTTTTATTTTTTATTTTTTTTTAAATATATATTTTATTGATTTTTTACAGAGAGGAAGGGAGAGAGATAGAGAGTTAGAAACATCGATGAGAGAGAAACATCGATCAGCTGCCTCCTGCACACCCCAAACTGGGGATGTGCCCGCAACCAAGGTACATGCCCTTGACCGGAATCGAACCTGGGACCTTTCAGTCCGCAGGCCAATGCTCTATCCACTGAGCCAAACCGGCTTCGGCTAAAACTGTTTTTTAAAAAAAGTAAAAAACAAACAAAAAATATACAAGCTTTCAATTCTGGGGAATTCAGAGAGATGGTAGTACTATAATGGCCCTGGGGAAGTAAAAAAGGGGAGTTGTTTTTTTGAGGTCTGGAAAGTAGTTGATAAAATAAAACAGAAATAGCTACAGCTGATAGGAGTAAAAAAATATTTAAATTAAATATTTTCTATGTGTGTATGTGTAGACAGTTTTAAGCATTAATTAGGCATTGTCATGTACCACTTATAATATAATTATATTCTATGCTTAATGTAATGTAGGATATGTAAAATGGTAGCTCTTTACATAGCCTCATAGACAATAAGAGTAAAAAAAACCAAAAACAAATATTTTCATCTAATGTTTTTTTGTTTTACAATTGACCAAATATTTTAATTTGAAATTATTAATTTTATAGTTGAGTCATCATTGCCACAGGTATGTTTTTTCTTTTGACATGACTTTTTAGCATTATTTTAAAATATTTCCCAATTAATGATGTATACTCAGAACTCATTGGATATCAGTAACTTGCCAGTGAAAAACAATAT